AATTGAATTTAAATGAGAACTCCATCGAGTATCACTTAGACATTTAAAGTGCCCAATTAGTTCTTACCAGTTCCAATTTTCAACTCTTCAATATATAGAAATCAAATGAGTAATTTCAATTGCTTAAGCTTTTTATAATTCATCATGATGTTTGGAAGAAGCACAAACCATATTAACAATATGAACCAAGTCTTTAAAAAATTAATGCATTTCAATAACTTTTCTAACTATTGCAATCAATGCTAATTGAAGTTGATAAGCAAAACAATGAACTTAATAAGCATATAGGCATTTATTCAAAATCAAAACTTGTGAGCCATTTACTTGTTCCACCATATCCTTATCTTCAGAGATTTTGCATGTCAAATCTATGATGGAAGAGAATATTAAAAATCTCATTTTTTAAGTCAATGCCGAAGTATTTTTAACATCAACAAGATAAAAAAATCATTCTTTCACAAACTTTCTTTATTAACAAATCCTAAAACTATTGTCAATTGCTCTTTTTTTTACTCATCTCTTGCTTCATTGACAATAATGCAAAATTTTCAATCACCAATTTCTTTATAAATTACATCATGAACTTTTTTAGCATAAACATGCAAAATTTCTTTTTTTGTTGTTTAAGAAGTATATGTCACATTTTACGAAGCAATTTTTATAACATTTTTAACTTTTTTATCATAAGATGTAAACAATTTTACCAATTTAATAAAATTTTTATTTTTTTATTCTATACTTTCATCATGACCTTTAAAGGTACAACTGTGAAACGTTAACCATTGAGTAATAACAATACCAGTTTTCAAATGTAAACTATTAATTCTAATTTCTTATGTTGTTTGCCTATTAAGTGATACTCCAATATGTTGAGCTTGATTCATTAAATCTACACAAGCTTTTTGTGCATTGTTATGTGGTGAATTTAGATCTTTTCTCATATGAGTCAAAAAAGCACAATTACATCATTTATATACGTTTTTTCAATTATTAAAACCACTATAAGTAAACATAGTTTATCCAAAGTATCCACATGGCATGTTATTTAAAAGAAAACAAAGCAAAAAAAATGTTGCATCTTTAGAGGTGAATATTTTAACTAAAAAAATTATTTGAAACATGATGCTTGAAAGTAACGTAGATGCTTTGTTGAACTAGAAGCAAGATATTCTAAAAGATTAGGTTGATGTGGTCTAACCTTGATATAAGCTTTTTGCATTTCATTATGTAGATTAATTGAATAGTCATATATTTGCTTACATAATTTTGGATCATGTTTTAAATTTGCTAAAGCAACAAATGAAGCAGTTGACGATGACATAGTGACTAATCTTCCAAAATTGGGATTTGATAAGATAGATTGAAACCGAAATGGTATGTTGATGTACTTATTTAATAATGGGAATATGACTTCTATCTATGTAAGATATAATTACTATATGATATTTATTGTTGTTAAACATTTTAGATATTTGATTGTGTGATTTTTTATTATATTTTAATTGTATGGTTTGTATTGATGATATGTGTTTATACCTCATTGGAATAAAATTTATATGGACCTTATTTACAATCAATTATGTGTTTCTATGTTTTTGTTCATTGTTACATTTTTTTTTGTTATCAAATTAAAGATATAGAAAAATAATAATTTAATAATTAAAATGTTTACAAGCATATTATTAAGGGCCTTTTGCAAAATTTATGTATGCATGAATGAAAATCAAACAGAAGTTACAAGGCTATAGGGAATTCAAATGCAACATACATAGCATTTGAATTTTCATGAAAAATCAAACAGAAGGTACAAGATTGTAAGAAATTCGAATGCCATAGAAATGGCATTCCAATGCCTATGACGAAAAATCAAACAAAAGCTACAAGGCTACAGGACATTCGAATGCTTTATACGTGAAATTTGAATACCTTATGAATGGCATTCAAATGCATAGGTTAAGTGCCCAAACTGAGGATGAAAAATGGCTTATGAAATTACTTACCTTCTACAAAGATTTCATACATCATAAGGATATAAACTTTCATATTTATAAGTAATTGTTTTTCTATTCATGCATCATAAATATACAAATTAGTAACATTATATGAGTAATCATCTTACCATTCATACATCATACAAATATTATATAAGTTTTGGAATGACTAAGTTGTAGAATAAAATGAAACATTCAGCCTATCTTAGGTAGTCAACAAAATCATACATAAGGGTTTGTACAACTACAATATTCAATGGTTAATCATGCCAAACCTTTTCACAATTTTTAAAGATTGTTTAACATAAATTGGTTCACCTATCTCATTTTTAAATGACTCCATATTTGCATGCTTGCCATATATCTTAGACCAATCAAAGACGTTCACTAAAGCTGAAGATTACTAAGCCACCTTAGTTTCATGGCTTGCTAAGTTGCTACTTTTTGGATCATTCTTGATGCATTTCAAAGGCTTTATGTAGGGGAAAAACTTGGGGACTCCCTACGCCTTCTTAGTGTGAGACTTAAATCTTCATTTTTCTTTCGTAAGGCCATATTTCTTCTTTATCAAAATTTTCATCTCTTATTGGTCTATTGCTGTAACTACTAGTGGTTTTATTCATGATACCATGCCAATCTACCATAACTTTATTTTAGCAAAAGGGGAAAAAATAAAAAAAATTCTATATCTGAGTGTAAAAGTCAATGCCTTAAAGAAATAGAAGCCTTAAGCAAAAATATAGTGGCTCCTCTCATAATCAATATAATGAAAATTTTTTAATTTTTTACATTAATTTATTTAATTATAATGTTTTATGTTGTTTGCAACTAGATAAATATGAGTTTATTTCAATACCCTCTAAAAGAACTACAACTTTTCAAAGTTATCATAAATAGGTACTTAACGTTAAAACCAATAAGGAAAATAGAAGAGAAGCTATAAAAAATCATTTTCCCTTATATGCTTCCAAAGAAAATCACATATTTTAATACCCTCAAATAGTAATATGTAACAATAGAGGACGAGAAAGACAACAACAACAACAAATGTAATTAAGATCATTTCCTATTTTCCCTAATTTTTATGCTTTATGTTCTATGTCTAGCGATCGAATATAAGACTCCAATATTTCTTCAATGTCTTAATCCTAGATTTTATATGAGGTTTGCCTTTAATGTTTTCCTTTTAAAGCTCTAATAAATAACTAGCTTTAAAACTAGTATTTGCATCATATGTTCTCGTCTTATACAGATTAATGATACATGATACTAACATAACATCCTCGTCAAAAGATGACTTCCTGTTTGTTTGTTTTGAACTTTGAGAACCAATGACTAAAGATGAAACATTCCTTACATTTTTGTAAATATCGAGCACCTAAATAATTCTATAATTGAGAAGGAATGATATGAACAAAGTATGATAAGATCAATGATTGAAGATGAAACATTCCTTGACATTTTCTAATCTATATTCAAAATTTTCACGTAATCAATTAAAACTTAAAACTCATATAAATAATAAAGTAAGATAAGAATAAAGTAACTACAATACCTTAATTTTGGTTTTGTTTTTTAACTTAATATCCAAAATTTTTTGTTCCATTCTATTTATAACATCAATCAAGCATGTTATTTTGTTGATAAGTGAATTAACATAGTTAAAATGGGAAAGAGCCACAATTAAAATTTAACTAACAGCACTAATTGACCAAAAAATCTAACAACAAAATATTTCTCTTTCCTAGACTCTATGAAAGGATGGACATATGTTTATTGGAAACCTATAACAATGAACAATGAAGCCCTATAGTAATTACAAATAATGAAGCTTTATAACTTAAATGATGCTCATATAAACAAGTGAAAAAGGAAACAATATTGCCCATATGAACCCAAATAGCTTAAACTTGGAATCAAGAGAGATGAAGGAAAAGAAAGGGAGTTTCATTGCTAATGCTGCCATTAGCTAGGAAAGAAAGATCTAATGGAAATTAAAGAGAGATGAGAAATCATAATGGCTTGAAAGGAAAAAATGAGTAGCAATTAGGAAGAGAGATAAATGATAGATAAAGATTTTTTAAGGATGAGTAACAGTAAAAAAAGGTGACAGATGAAGATTTTTGAAAAAGACAATGTACGTTGGGAAAAAGAAAAACTTAAAGCAATTCCATAGATTAAGGAATTGCAAATGCCTATTCCCCAAAAGATTTGAAAATTTATGTTAATCAAGAATTCCCATATCACATAATCATCTTTTTAACTCCAATTATGAACCAAACCTTGGAAAATGTGATTATTCCAAAAAATAGATGGAATAGGAAAGCATTTTTCATTTAATCAAATGAGTCATAAATAATTAGATTTTGTATATTTAACAAATTTTAATAATTTTATTAGGATAAATTAAAATTCAATGACCTAAATTAATTTAGATCAAAATTCAATAACTAAGAATGAAATTTACTCCAGTCATACAATAAAAAACTCCTTCTTAATCACATATCAAATAGTTTTTTTTTAATTTAAAAATTAAAATAATATTTGGCTTAAAATTTAATAATCATATGCTCTAAATATTAATATAATAAATTAAGATCATATTTGGTACATAAGATATGATAAGATAAAATAAGATAAGATAATATTATAAAAAATTAGATTAAGTAATATCATCTTATTTTATATTTGATATATATAAGGATTAAGATAAAATAATTTATTTATTTATCAAAATTATCTTTCTTAAAGTTTATATAATTTAAATTGTTAATATAATTTTTAAGGATATAATTAGACACATAAATTTAATTTCATAAATTAAAAATAATAATATTTACTTAGAGATAATTAAATAATCTTACACCAAAAAGATGTTAATCTTCTTTATAATCCTTATTCCTCTTAAATATAAATCAAATAATATATAATAATTATTATCTTATCTTATTAATAATTTTATATATCAAATATGACCTAATAATATAAAAATAAAACATCATCCGCCAAAGCAATCAGATAAGTTGGCTTTTTCCTCTCTCTTTTTCCTCCCCTGCCTCTTGCTGCCTGCTAATTAAAGAGAAAAACGAAACGCGTAGGTTCAGGGCTTTTAATTTTAAGGCCCTTGGTCTATTTTTTTTCCACTACCCGCGCCAGCACGTTCTTTCTCCTCTCTATCGTGCGGCTAGCCCATCTTCTGCCCCCATCGCCGGTCAGCTTCCTACCCTACCGCGGCAGATTCTCTCTCTTCCCTCTCTCTGTTTGCCCTCTTTCCCCTGACGCGTTCGCCGCCGTTTCTTTCTCAGGTTTATCTCTTTCTCTTCTCTGCTCCCTTACACTCCTAACTCACTTTGGCTGAACAGTGAACGTGCAAAATTAGTTTAATGTGCTTAAATCGTTCTTTTTTTCCTATAAATTATCCATTTTATTAATTTACTGATTTTCCCCATCAAAGATTTCTTATTATAGGCAAGTTGTAATTTTGCTTGTTTTGACTTTGTTTAATAATTTCAGTTTCAATGTGAATCAGTAAATTAAACATCTTAGAGCTTCATGTTAAAAAGATAGTTTCTGTTTTTTATTCGTTGTAGAGAAGAATTGTCTTAGAGCATGTAAAAGTGAAGAGAGGTGTGTCGCTTGCGAACTTTTCATTGATTCTTTCTTTTGTTTTGGAATTTATGCTTCCAATATGAGCTTTGTGTAGAAAGTATAGCTTAAATTTGTTTCACTGCCTTTATTGATGACAGATACTTGTGCATTATATTGAAGTTTGCTTGGATGACATACAAATTTGCTCCTGCAATCAACTCACCTGTGATTTCCATTTCACAAATAGCAATTTTGGCGTCTGAGTTATACATGATATTGCTTTTTATGAGACATTATTAATGTAACTATTTTCCCGTCACTGAGATTGCAAGACTTATTAAAATAAGTGAGTTTCAAGTCTCCAATTGTTTTGAGCTGGTAGGGTGCACCATCTTTTTCTTAAGGTCAGTTTTGGGTGGAGTAACTGTAAATTATAATTGGGTTCCAAATCATTTTGAGTCTGTTTCTGGTTCCTTTGTTGAGGTATGCTATGCTTCTGACAGGTGACAATAAGTCCCAGCTTTATTTTTTTGTCTTTCTTTGGTAATAAAATATTCTTTTATGGGCTGAGCAAAAACACAAAATTCTGGTTTCCTTTTGCTGGTTTTTTGATTTAGAAGTAGGGAAGCCTATTTTAGAAGAAGGCTTTCAGCCTTTAACTGCTATGAAGGCAATTCAACTTTTTCTCTAACTTTGTGCATTGGCTGGATTAATAAGGTGCTAGGTTATTCTACAAGCAATGTTCAATTTGTTGAAACAAGCATGTTGCTATTGTAATATATTGTTCACTTTGTAACAACTGCACAATGTTTAAAATAGATCGACAAATGCTAATTCCTTTTGAGTTGGGTTGAGTATTAATAAGGGGCTGTTTCTAGGGAATGCAGACAACCTTTTTTCTTTTCTGTAAAATTTCCCCTTAGACGTATTGAAGAGTAACAATAATAGGACTTAGTAAATTAGAATGCTCGTAAGAAGAATTAGAAAAGAAATACATATAAATGTATATGCACCTATAAATTAAGGGGTATGGCATCTCTACGCCTCATAAATTAATTGTCAGTTACTTAAATTCATCATACTGACTGATGCTAGATCTGTTATTATTTATTTATTATTTTTGGGGGGTGCTTTAATTTTTGTTCTTGCTTTGTTCCATTGGGTGATTTTTTTTTTTTAATAGTTGAAATATATTGCTTCACGAAATAATTTCCTTCTTGTACAAGAAATGGTTGAATCAAGATTTGCGAAGATTTTAATCTTGGCTTATGGTTTAAAACATCTTTTTGTTGGATGTGTATTTATCGCTATTATGCTATAAAGTCCCAGGAGAAACAAAGAATGGAAACACAAAAGAGTCACCCTGACAAACAACCATCACCAGTTGTGGCTTCATGTAGGAAGAAAAAGAATGAGGAAGCAGCTTTCCTTGAAGACTTGAAGGATCACATTGATGAGTTCATTAATGCATCAATGGATGAGCACATAGGTTGCTTTAAGAAGACCATCCAAAAGGTGCTTCCCTTGATATTCTGCACTATCATTGTCCAATATGAACTTTCCTGTTGGTTATATTCTTTGTGTATATTGGTGTGTCTGACTAAAAATTTGGGTTCCATTTCAGATGTTTGGAATGTCAAAAGTTGTAGCAGAAAGGAGTGCTGAATCTAAGGAAGTTGAAAGTGTTCTGCCCTTTCGAACAACATTGTCAAAATAAAGTATCTTTCTTCCCCTTAAATAATATGACATGTAGTTTTAGATCTGTACTGGTTAGCAGTAAATTGTTAAATCAGGTTACAATGCTTTCAGTTTGATTAGTTTACACTTTACATAAACTAGTCTTGCACAAATAAGAGTTTCTTTTTTTTTTTTTTATTGTTTTTTTAAGTTGCGGTTATGGTTAAGTAATTCTGTTCATTCTATGCCCTTCAAAGTCAAATTTATTTTGGATCCTGAATGTAAATCATACTACGTTAGATCGCAGCAACATGGAACTGTTCTGTATGTATACTGTGCACTCATGAAAAGATTTTGCAATCTACGAGCAGGCTGCATCGATTAATACGGCATGAAACCTGATAAGTGTTAATAAAGCTAGAGCAAAACAAGAAAGAAATTGTGGTTTTAAACAATTTGGCTAAATGCTGAGCTGAAACTGATAGATGCAATAAAGTTTAAGAATGTCAAAGTGAAATATAGAAAGTTGATGTGATTTTTCTACAAAGCATTTTTTTTTTCATCATGTAGCTAGCTAGTTGCTACAATAGATTGATTATTATGTGTTGGAAATTCTGTTATCAATACCTTTTGTTTGTTCTATAATCTTGCTGATTAAAAAACAGATACACTGTTTCTCTTTTGGCATTAAGGCAAGTCTGTCAAAGCAATGTTAATAATCATAAGTATGTACTGTTCACATACTTTATATATATATATATATATATACACTCTCGATGCATGGGCATGTAATTATGTAAAAAAAAAAAATTGTAATATAACTAATAAATTTCATAAAAATTTAAAATTTTAATGTCAAATGAGTAAGAAAAGATAAAAATTGGAAATCAATATGTAATTACAATAGAATTTAAAGAAAAATACTTTTCCATCAAATCTTATCTAATAGTGATATTTAAATAAAATCTAATGTCTTTGATTCCAAATAATTGAAATTTACTTTTGTTAAAATGAATTATGTTTACAAACTTTTTTCATGCTTATTCTATGGGATAAAATGTTGCAATTAATTTTTTAGTGATACTTATTGTCAATCTACTTGATAGTTTAATAGATTTGACTCTTCTCCCTTTTTCAACATAAAATGAGAAGTTTTGTTGATGGTCAGATGAAAAGTAATATCAGCATAAATAAAATCTATGGCTATTCTTTTATTGTTATTTTTTGTTTTTAACCAAACAATAATTTTTTTGTTTACAACTCTGGCACTATTTAGATTGTAAATTTTTTTTTATGCTTATATGTCTTTTAATATGACTATCAAGAATCTAACTATAAATGATAAAGTTGAAAAATTTTTTTAATTTATTTTAAATGAATAAAATAGGCTCCAATTAAAAGTTTTATTTAATTTTTTTGTTGCAACTTTTTAATCTTAATCTTAATAAATTTATACTTCTTTCAATAGTTTGTAGTTAAGTTTAGGATTAAAACTTGATAAGCATCTACCTGGAAAAAAAAAAAAACCTTGATAAGTATCAATTAATTTATAAAGTAAAATAATTTTACAAAGACATTAATTAGTTTAAAACATATCATGTAAAGTAAACAACATAACAAACAATAATTTACATAAAATGGAAAAAGCTAATATTAGTTTATGCAAACTAATATTATGATAAAAAAATGCTAAACCGAACAATCATAGGAACATAATAATAAGTAATAAATTAAGTGCATTGAAGGTAAATAAATTGTTTTAAGATTTGGTGCTCAAATTTTGCCAAAATAAACTATTGCAAGATTTTTCGTATTAAAAACTTGGAATGGAATGCCAAAAAATTGGAAGGAGAAAGTTTTTTTTTTCTTAGTAAAAGATTATAAAACATTGCATTTATTTATAAGAATATTTTTTAGTTTAATAATGTTGATTGTTTCTTTTTATAGAGACATATTACTATAGAGATGATATAAATATTGAAAAAGATTGAATATAAAGGAGATTTCTTAAAATAAAAAGAATATCGAGAAGATTAAATTAGAGCCTATTGTGGAGGAAGAGGATGCAAAAGAAGAAGATGAGGAAAAGGTATATGATGTATTGCCTCAACCGACGAATATTCAGGAGGTTAGTTCTTCTAGGCCTACTGCTGGCAAAGCCAAAACCTTATGGGCTACCCATTCAGTTCTATCAACGCTTTCGGCAGCAGAGATCCAATCAGTAATTTTCCAAATTCTTAGAGGTGTTTAAAAAACTGCACATTAATATCCCTTTATTGATGCCTTGGAACAAATGCCCAGCTACTTGAAATTCATGAAAAAGATGATCATCTTTAAGATGTATAGGCTGGAAGAACATGTGACTGTAGTTGTGATTGAAAAGTGTAATGCTATCATTTAAAGCAAAATTTCACCTAAGCTTAAGAACCCAAGGTTCTTCACTATCCCTTGCACCATTGGGAGACTGTTTTTTGATGGGGTGCTTTGTGATCTAAGAGCTAGCATTAATCTACTGCCATTATTGATATTCAAGCAGCTTGGCTTAGGTGAGCTTAAGCCCATTACTGTCACTCTCTAGCTTGTCAATAAATCTCTAAAGTATCCAAGAGGAGTTGTGGAGGATGTTCTTATGAAAGTTGATAAATTTTACCACCTAACTGATTTTGTGGTCTTAGAAATGGAAGAGAACACTGATATTCCAATAATCTTTGGGAAACTATTCTTGGCCACAGGAGGAGCGATTGTTGATGTTAGAAAAGGGGAACTTACTATGAGAATTCAAGATGAAGAAGTCAAATTTGGTGTTTACATGTCTTTGCTTATTTCGAGTCCCACTATAAGGTACTTGACACTCCGTCCTGTACACTTTCCAGTGTTGATATGGTCATGGAGACTCTATTAACCCGCGGGCTTAAACCAAAACCCACATATCTCAGCCCCTCAAATAGGAGACTTGAGATCTTGTTTAAGGAAGGCCAAATGACTTTTGCTGACATGCCACTCATAAATGAGCACCAGCTCCAATTGGATTCAATCATGGAGGATGTGGTGAAGAGAGAAATGATTAAGTGGCTGGTTGCGGGTATTAAATTTGGTGTCATCACTATGGCCAATTCAGATTGAAGATGAAGAGAAAGTCAAGCTGATTGACTTTAAATTCAACGATTTTTGGAAGGTATCCTAAGTTTGTTTTCTTTTATCTGTTATGTTAGTTTGCTTTCTTTACTTGTAGGTAAAAATAAAGCCAATCACAGAGCTTCAAAGAGGTCATCAGTCCACATTAGAGGAGTACTCTTCACCCTTTGCACTTTATTCTTAGTTGCCTACACATTGAGGGCAATGTGCTGTTCAAGTTTGGGGGTGAAAAATAATTTGTTCCAAAATTTTCCAAATTTTCAAAAATTTTAAAAAATTTTACATATCTATGGGCTTAAATGATTTTGCTACGAGTTATTAGTAGACTTTCATTGGTTGATTTTTCATGATCTTGTGATAACAATCATGATTGACTTTTTAATCATTGACTTGTATGTTATTTAGTAAATATTTATGTGATCATAGGAATTGCATTCATTTTTGAAGTTGTGCTTATGTTCTAGACTTTGATTGATCACTTCTCAAGGTGAATCCTAGACTGCACTAAATTAGGGAGATGACTTAGGCTATCCTTAGATTGATTGAGCCTTTCAAGCCAACCCTAATATGTGCACCTATAGTCACCCCTTTTGAGCTTTTCGTTACCCCTTTTTTGGTTATTCAACCACATTAATTAGCCTAATCATTGTTTACTTTTTATCTCTTTGTCCCTACCTTATGTGCATAAAGATCATTAATAACATAATTAATGAGCTATATCACATTTGGAAGAAGGGTGAAATATTGAAAAAAGAGAAAAGAAAACTGAAAAAAAATGAAAATGAAAATGAAAATAATGAAAAAATGAAAAAAGAAAAGAAAAGAAAAGAATAAAAGTGTGCAAATAAAGAAAGGAGAAAAATCCAAGTTTGAAGGAAGGTGATAGTGTATTGAAAAGCTCTCATTCATTGCATATTTAAATGATCCTAAGCTACTAATGCATGATTAGGGTACTGAACCTAAACTTCATTTATCCCATCTTAACCCTAGTCTAATATTACAAGCTATTAAAGACCTAAAGATTGTTGGTTTAGTGAGTGTTTACATTAGTGGATAGAGGTGTGAAAGACAAAGATTAACCTATGTTTATGATTTACCTTGAGCTATAGTCATCATGTAATCTTTGAGGAAATCATTCTAGATTGATCATAGGAAGTTGAATTTAACTCTTAGCACATTTTGATTTTGCTTGAGGACAAGCAAAACTTCAAGTTCGGGGGTGTAATAATTCTATATTTTATAAAATTATTATAGTGTTAAATTGCTTAATTAAAACTCTTATTAACTTGATTTTTGCTTGATTAAGTCGATATTCCACCTAATCTTTGTTTTGTTCAATTGTAGGTAAATTGAAGGACTAGGTAATTAATCATGCTTAAGGATGCCTTGGTGCTACATTGCTTGAGGAATTTGCACTCTAAACCGAGATCTTCAATTGAGCTACATGTTCGGACCTTATGTGCATAACAAGAAACTTGAGAAGCCAAGAAAAATGACTACAAGCTGCCATTGCTGTGAGGAACTTGTGTGCATAAACTAAGAGCCGAATTGGAAAAGCCATGGTTGCCAAGCTTGCAAGGAGGGACATGAGCAGATTAGAGCTGATGGGAACTGAATTTTATGAGTTGAAGAAGCCATTAAGAGATCTAAAAAATGCCAACACCATAAGCCAAGGCAAAGCCAGCACCATGAAGTGCCAAGTCGAGAGTTGCCTTATTGATTACTTGAATGAGCCTAGTCCATTACATGAGCTAACTTGCAAGAATAAGGGGCTGATTTAGGTAAGCTTGAAGCCAATTTTAGGAGCTGCTGAGGTGAGCCACTAAGCCATATTTAAGTGCACATGCAACAGAGAAAGGATGGCACAAAAGAAGGGGGACCAATGCACTAGAGGACAAAGTTGGACCATAATGAAAATGACTGGAAGCCACTACACTCTACTGTAATTCGCAATTTGGGAGAATATTTAGGCTGTAACTTTAGAGGATTATGTGTACAATGAGATGACATTAAGGTGGGAAGGCATTGGCCCACCTAGGATGAAGCACATGGGCTGTAAAGAAGGTGGAAAGGATGCATGGGAGACAAGTATGCCAAATCTGCCAGCGTAGTTTGGGGACCATTCCAGTCTTCATTCTCTCTCATTTGAGGTGCATACATGGCCATCTACTTGTCCTTTATGTAGCTACATAATCCTCTCCCATTGGTCCAATTGTACAAGCTCATATGAAGCAAATTTCATGGACAAAATAGCCTAGGCAATCACTATTTTTTAGCACACGAATTCTCTTCATTCTTCAAGCAATTAAGGGGCTGACTTTGACAATTTAAGCAAAATATAACTGGCTGTAAAAATACCTAGGATGTACTATAAATAGAATATGATAGGGCTAAACCAATAAACCAAGGGAGCCCCCTTTGGGTTTTTTTTTTTTTTGGCTGCCAGTGATGCCTCCTCCAGGTAGCAGCCTTGCTGACCTTGTTAGCTGGCTTTAGGGGCCTCCATTTTTGCTCCCGTCTCCTAGTATCTTCATAGCTATTTACCTTTTTTCATTTACCTTTTCTGTACTAACCTTCACTTTAAATATTAGACCTTTTCATTTTGCAATGTAATTTACAATTTCCTTTTACTTTATTTCCAACTCTGTTTGCTCCTTTTTTTTTAATTTATTTTTGCCTTACTTTGGGCTTGTTCTTTGGTTGAGAAGGATAGTTTATGAAGGTCTTGGGCATGAGCAATCATCCATCGGGCCTAAATAACTTGACTCTTTGCTTAGTTCTTTTAATTTCAAAATTTTATTGACTGATTTTTAGTTTCTGTTTAGCCTTTAATTTTCGGTTATTTAAGCTTGTTTCCTTGCTTATTTGCCTGCTAGTTGAGATCATTTTCATGCCATTATATTATGTTTAAGTGTTATTTTCATGCCTTCAAATTTTCAAATGTTTAAGTTCTCTTTGTTTTTCATTTTCTTAGAATGTTGCTATTTCAACTTTGTTTTTTTGCCTAATCTGTTTAGTTTTGCGTATTCACTTCCTATAGTTTTTCTGTTGCATTTTGAGTTTTTTTTTTTTTAAGTTTATGATGTTTGATTTAATGTTCCATTGCATCTTCTTTGAATTTAGTAGTTGTTTTCTTCTTGATTTTTCAAGGCTATTTAGTTCTCTTCTAGGTTGTTTCCAACCCTTTAAATTTGCATTTTAGGTTCTTTAGTAAGTCTTTTTAATGTTATTTGATGTCATTTAGGTTTGGTTTCATGTTCAAGTAATTTCTCATATATTTCTCTAGGTGTTTGTTGAAAGGTTTTCATGTAGTTTCCTTAATCTTGCATTCGGTTTTCAGCTTCTGTTTAAAGCAAATTTCAGTTAAGTTTTAACTTTTATAATGTTGTGTTTCAAGTCTTTTTCATGCCTTAATCTTGTTCATTTAGTGTTATGCATGGTAGGGTAGGTTTTATGAACATTTAGCTTAAGTTCACCTAGTGTTTGATGTTTGTTGTTTGTCATTTTAATAGGTTTAACTGATCGATTTTAGTTGCTGTACAAGTTCTGTTTTCAACTCAAATTACTGCCTTTTACTTTCATTTTTATGCCTTTGATTTCCCATGTTACTTGAGTGTTTTGTTCCTGAATGTCTAGTTGTTTATTTTCCTTAGATTCCATGTTGTTAATTAGTTGTTTTATATTTTAGTGTCAATTGCTGCCATGCATTTTTCATACTCGGTTCTTATGTTAGATTAGGTCCACATTATTTTGTGCTTCATGCATTTAAGTGCCATGCAAGTTTCATTTCATTTATGTTCATGCATGTTCATTCTATGCCATTTAGATTTTCTTGCTAACTAGGTTTTCTTACATTTTTAAATTTTATGATTAGTTTTACTTAATACATGTTAAATTGTATTCTTCGACTTTCATGTTTTAGTGTTAGAAGTTAATTTAAAGCCTTACTTTTTAGGTTTAGAAATTTCCTTTTATAGCAACTTTTTATTTTTAGAAACTTTCCATTTTTAATAATGCTTTGCTTAATTTAGGTTTAGAACTTTGCTTAATTTAGGTTAATTAATTTAGTTAGAATAAGGTTAAATTAGTAATTTTACCAATAATTTCTTCGAACCAAATATACCTTAAATGTCTAATTTCTGAAGTTACCTTTAGGTTAGACATCTAATCCTTGTGGAGACGATAATTCAGATACTTCCTATCTAGATTTCTTAAGCGGCCTATACACTTATGGTTTATACGTGGATCATCTACCCTTAAATATGATGAATGAAGAAATAGGGGTGGTTATTGGAGAAACATTGGGGGATGTGAAAGAGGTAGATACAAATGGTAGCAATACGAAATGGGTGAAGTATCTCAAGGTTAAAGTTACCCTAAACATAAATATCCCACTAAAAAGAGGGAACCATAATAGGGGTTAAAGATGGCGGAGAGGCCCTTATTATGTTTCGCTATGAAAGATTGCCAAATTTTTGTTTTGTTTGTGGTGGAATGGATCATCAAGATGATGAATGTGATTTAGTGCATTGAAGATGAAAAATCATAAGGGTTCAATGACAAAGGAGTATGGGTGATGTATATGTGCTGAGATTGAAAAGCTAGAGTTATTGAAGGTAGAAAAGGATGCTGGTTGTAAATTAAGGAGTAAATTTGACAAGGGGAGAGAAAAACTCACTAGAAATGATCTATATTTAATTGGTGTGAAATGTGATTACAAGGGATAAGGAGATCCTGAAAAAAGTGGTGAATACTACTTTAAATATAAAAGTTATTTGTAATAGGTTCAGTGGTAATCAACTAGATAATAGACCTATTGGTGAGTCTATTGGGTTGCATAAAGCAAGGCCATGCAAAAATGGAAAAGAGCAACTAGAAATACTTATGAAAAAATGATCGGAGACTTATTAATGTTATTACAATTGTGTAAAAGGAAAGAAAAGAACGATTCCTTCTAACTTATGACCAAATGATGGTTGTGATATGAGCATGAAAAAGCAAAAGAACTACATGAAGATGGAGGCGATTATTTTTTAAGGTATTAATACAACGGTAAAAGCTAGTGTTGAAAGCTAGTCCCACCGAGAACAATGAAATGTTGGTATTTGCCCTTCAAGTTGAATAATATTTTAGTTAAAATATTGTCATATTTGTAATACTATTATATTTGATATCTTATAAAGGTTTTATTTATTTATCATTGAGCTTGTATACATATATTTCAATATTGATGCTTATACGATAAAGTTCTCTGAATATAAATAAAGTTTTGCAAGGAAATTACAATGAGACTGTAATTATGAGATCATCATTGCATAAAAGTTATATGCTCCTTAGTTGATGTTTTATCAATAAGAGGACATTGAAGTTATTGAGACTAGTATATGGTTATGCTTTTACTTATGAAGCAAGTAACTGATCTCATAAGTTGAAGTTTAGGTAAACTTGAGCTAATATGTGGGGTGCTTGTTACAAGAACAAGCTCATTGAACATGACTCGATATGAGAATGTTATATGGTACTTCACATAATGTCTATAGTTGCATTCTCTTATAATTGTTATACAACGTATAAATGATTCTTTGACTTAAGATTACTTATGATCTTACATGATGAATATTATACTTTGACTTTATTTTACTTATGGTTCTAACTAAGAATAATTCCCCTACAAAAAGAACATCAAGCTAGCCCTCTTGTAAAAGTAACCAACCAAGCATCTAGAGGTCACTCAAGAAAATACAAGAGGTTTTGCAAATGTTAAAATTTTTCGTAAGTAGGCTACTATTAATTGGCGATTTTAATTTAATAAAATTGGTTGATGAAGCTAGTCTTAATATGAGACAAGCATGAGAGTCCAATTAATTTAATGTGACCACTTAAGTATGGGCTTTGCACATCTTATTAGGTTGGTGTGGTTTAAAGGTTGTGTATGTCTTTGGCTCGATAGGCCTTTAATGAGGAGGTTACTAGAGTTATTTAAATAATAGGCTAAAGTTTCTTTTTCACTTCTCAATATTCGGTAACTATCCAATGAGAAATCTCTACGAGAAAGAAAAAAACGAAGAGAAAGATCATAATCACTTCGAGATCGTTTCACTTTCGAAATTTCATGATGACTACCCAAATAAGTATGCTTGATCTCTTTGATACATGTATGGTGTTCTAATTTTAACACAATAATCTTGGGTTTATGCTTTTATGTGGAATCAAAGCCCAATTGTGTGAAATTAAGACCCTAATTTTATAATTATTTAATTAATTTTTAGATTAGTTGCTTGTTTGGGTGATTTTTTATGTTGCTGAAATTTTTAAATTTCAATCTTTATTATCTAAAATTGATTAAGGGCTTTTGTTTCTCTCTGAAAGAAGATCAAATTCATATAAAGATCGTTTTCTAACTCCTTGTATGGAGGGAGAAATTGGGATTCAAAGTTTTCGATTATAATTTTGGTAAAAACTTTTATTTTGATTAAATCATCAACATTTTATGTGTTTGATTTAAAATTGATCCATGTTTGATGTTCCTAATATGTTACAAAAGTGGATCAAAGTGTTTAATTTCATAAAATGTCGTTGTAAGATGATCAAATTTGAATAAAACAAAAATGGGTTATTTATGAGTTTGTAGAATCCAAAATTTTCTCAAATTGATCATATCTTTGTTGTTTTTAATGCTATTTTTTGCATGGGCTTTGTAGAAAATTAGTTTAATTGAATGTTTGAAACTTTAATTTAATGAGAAAGGGAAGAAAAAACATAAAAAATGGTGGAAAAACCAATACAAACCTTGACGGGTTAGGAATTGCCTTAATTGGTTTGGGCTAACCTGGGTGAAGGTTGAATAAAGGTGCACTTCCATCGCCAGACGGGGCGTACACATAAGGGAAGGCACGTGAGGGGCTTGTTGGCCCGTTTGACAGCTATTTTCATCCCAGTTTTTTTTTACATGCTTGAAATTTAATTTTTGATTTTTCTATGATTTGTTTTGGAATTTTTTAAGTGCGTGAAATATTTATTGTTTAAAATTCATGCATTATTCTTAAAATATTATATGTTATGTACATGATTTTGGTGGCTTTAGTTAAAGATAAAATATTTTGACATGTTTAGAGTCTAAAGGTAGTAGATACTCTCCTTAGTTAAACTAAAATATTTGTGTACTCTCGAGTTGAGTTTTATGTGCATAATTGGTTAGTAATTAAAAATAGTTTTAAATTAAATTCGAGACCTAAGTTTAAATGGAATAAACATTATTTATAGGATCTAATAAGATACATCTAGATTTAGTATTTTAGTTGGAATGGCCCATTGCATACATTAAGGTTGAGAATGCAAATTGAGAATTTTGGGCAGTTAATGAAATTTTTTGGTTTGAAATTTTTTTTTAATTGATATAAGTGCTTGGCTGTCAAAGTGGCTCATATATTGAAGTTAATGGAATATTCTATTATTATAAGGTTACGGGATGGTTATTAAATTACCTTATGCATTTACTTGCCTAAAAGGGGTTAATGTGTAGGGTAATTTGTTTTAGAACATAAAACATCATGGTTGAAGGTTACCGATCTAGAAAATTTGTCTGCTAAAGGGGTTAGGTTTTCAAAAACTAGGACATTCTTATATTAACTTTATGTGAAAAGTTCTTAATCACATGTTGCATTTTCTACCCAAAAGAGAATTTGTAATGATGCGCCTAGAGCTTTTAGTAATTGTTAGCACATCATGAACATTGCTATACAACTTATGACATTCTCTATTGACTAATATTGCATTTTGTCTTGCATAGTGACTTATTACTGTCAATAACAATCAAGCTACTATCAAAGTACTTTATGGGTCTAATTATAAGAGATGGAATGAAGATTTGAATTTTGCTTTGGTTATGAGTGAGATAGACGTAGTCTTACATTTTTCAAAGCCTGCTAATCTTATTAATGAAAGTACTATTGAATAAAAAGAATTTTTTGCCAAATGGAAAAAAGCAAATCACATGTGTCTATATACCATTAAAAGGTCATCTCTGAATACTTTTTGAGTGGGCTGGATACTATTGAAATTGCTAGGGATCTCTACAATGCTGTAGGCAATAGATACAAAAACTCTAGAAGTATGAGGTTGGGAACCTTATGAGTGAGCTTACGAGTATGAGATATGATAGTGTAAGAGGTGTTAGAGATTTTATTATGAGAATGGTCCACATTCAAACCAAATTGACTTCCATGAAATTGTTCTTCATGACAAATTCATTGTTCACCATGCCTTTAACTTCTTACCTATTGAGTTCACCCAAATTAGAATAACCTATAATGCTATGAATGAAGTTTGAAGTGTTAATGATCTCATCTCAAAATGTGTTTATAAAGAAGAAAAATTCAAAAAAAAAAAAGTGCCCATCTTACTACCTACTCCAAACCCAATTATTAAAAGAGTGCCCGTCTTACTACCTACTCCAAACCCAATTATTAAAGAAATTATGAGAAACTTGGAAGATCTGTTCTTAATGCTCGTAAGCAAGTTTAGGATGATAAGGGACAAGGTAGTGGTCAGACTAAAAGGTAGGATGTCTTAAAGTTGTCATTAAGAAAGATATCAAGTGTTTTTTCTGTAAGAAAAAAGGTCACATGAAATTTGATTGCCCCAAATATAAGGCTTGGTTAGAGAAAAAAGAATAAATAAGAAGGTAATTCACTAGCTTTTATTTGTTTTGAATCCTACTTTGTTAGTATCTTATCGAATTCATGGTAGCTTGATAGTGGTGCAACTGTTCATGTTGTTGTTACCTTGTAAGGGTTCAAAAGCAAATGGCAGCCAAATGAGAAAGAGGCCAAACTTAATGTTGAAAACAATGCTAAAGTAGACATTAGTCATGTAGGAACAATAGGTTTAAATTTGAATTTAGGCTTTGAACTTATTTTGGAAAATGTTTTTTATGTACCTTCATTTAGAAAGAATTTGATTTCAGTT